TTTTTAAGGAGCTAAAATTCTCCAAAGGATCTGCTCATTGAGTTTTCCAAAAGGTTGCACATACTGAATATGTGTATATATTTACACATGCTTCACACATTAAAAAGCCAGTGGAGCAGGTGTTTTAGGGACCCCTTAACTTTGATCAGCATATATGATTAACAAAGCTTCCTTTATGAATTATTCAGATCTGAAGTGTAAGTGCTCAAGAATTGTGCCACTTGAACTGATTGAAATGTGTTCTTATAAGGCACTAAGACACTGTAAAACTAATGAACCCAGGCATCATTTTTTTGAAAGCTGGGAAAAACACTGAATCGTTATTGAAAATTTGCTACTTCCTTTTTGTGAATTGTTACATTTCTTCATTTTTAGAATAAGAAACATTATAGCGAATGAAAAAAAGGCAATTTGGCTCCTCACACACCAGTTCTCTGTAAAGCAATTCAATCAATCCACATTCCTCCATTCTAACCCATGGCCCTGCAAGTTTATTTCCCTCAAGAGACCACCCAAATTTCCTTTTAAAGTTTTTCATCATCACTGCTTGCACCATCCTTGCTGGCAGAGAATTATAGGTCATTAATATTTGCTGCATAAAACAATTCACATTCCTGCTCTCACTCTTGTCCAAAACCATAAATCTCTGCCCCTTAAACCTCATATCATCAGCTAATAGCATTAGCTTTTCTTTGTTTACCTTATCTAAACTGTCATAAGCTTGCAAACCCTACCTTGAAAATGGCCTCAGCTTCTTCAATTTAACTTTGCATCTAAAATCATTATAAAACAAATTGCGATGCTGACCACTCTCCTGGTAGCAGCAAAGCAAAGTTGCAAACCTGAGAGTTTCACAGCTTCAAACATGATGGCCCACCATGTACCAATATCCTTGGGTCAATAAATGACACCAAATACCAACAGTTCACATTGACATTTGGGAGAGTACTACCTCCTAAAGGGTTACCAGAAAATGCTTGGAAGTTGGTAAGATTAATCATTTATGAAATGGCAGCAGCCACATTTGATAAAGGTGGAATCTATAACAAAGAGGCCTACTTGACTAAGATAACATCTGTTATTGAAGCAAAAGAAATGCCGACATAATGCACAACATAAGCTCATGATCTAGAAAATTGCATGACTTGAAAATATCCAAGTCAGTCCTGCAGAAGACAGGGAGATACTGCACAAACAAACTGTATCAACCTATGTCAAGAAATCAAAGATTTCCACACTCAGGCAGTTATGTGCTATGAATGATGGGACGAGGAGGATGTGACCAAAGCTGCCACCCTTGAAATTGGCAGATGGCGAACTATTCAGTGACAGATACAAAGGGTTGTTCTACTGCACTAAATATTACTGTGAGTTGTACTCCCATGAGACTGACATCTCTCAGTCCACGTTTGATGCCCTCCTGCAGCTTCTGGTCATGGCTGAATTAGACGAAGAACACATTCACTCCTTGTGCTCGAAAAAGCCATTTACTGCTTAGTGAGCAGAAAGATATCCGGCAAGGATGAAACTCCAGTAGAATTTCTCAAGCATTCAAAGTACCATACACTGTTAAACCTTCCTGGTTTTGTCCTTTATTGGAAGGTAGGATCCATTCAACAGAACATACATGTCACAAAAGTCAACACACTATAGAAAAGAATTCAGAGAGAAGGTTGTAACAACTACAGCGACCTATCACTCCTTAGTGCCACTGAGAAGACCTTTGCTAAGATCATTCTTCAACGACACCAACAATTTGGAAAAGAATCAACTTATATGGGGTAGTCAGCATGACTTTGGGCAGGGTAGGTCTTGTTTCGAAAAATTGCTTGAGTTTTTTTGAGAAAGTGACCAGATGAGTGATGAGGATTAGGCTGTGGGTGTTGTCTACATGGACTTTACTAAAGCATTTCATAAGTTCCCTCATGGTAGACTTGCCCAGAAGAGTAAGTTATGAGATCCACGGCAAGTTGATAAGTTGGATACAAAATTGGGTTGATCACAGAAGACACAGGGTAGTTGTGGAGGGGTGCTTTTCTGACCAGAGGACTGTGACAAGTGGTGTTCTACAATGATCAGTGCTGGAATCTCGGTTGTTTGTGATATATATAAATGATTAGGATGAAAATGTAGGTTGTCTGATTAGTAAATTTGCAGACGACATGAAAATTGGAGGAATTGTGGATAGTGAGGAAGGTTGTCAAAGGATACAGCAAGATGTAGATCAGTTGGAAAGTTGGGTGGAGAAATGACAGATGAAGTTTAATCCAGATGAATGTGAAGTGATGCATTTTGGGACGTCATGCAAGAGGAAAGTAAATGGCAGGACCCTTAGGAGGGCATTGATATACAGGATCTCAGGCTGCAAGTCCATAGTTCCCTGAAAATGATAATACAAATGATGGCAAAGAAGGTGTGCTTGCCTTCATCAGTCGGCGCATTGAGTACAAAAGTTGGCAAGTCTTATTGCAGCTGTATAAAACTTTAGTTAGGTCACATTTGGATTGTGTGCGCAGTTCTGGTCACCACACCAGATAAAGGAGGATGTGGAGGCTTCGAAGAGGGTGCAAAAGATGTTTACCTGGATTGGAGTGTATTAGCTATAAGGAGAGGTTGGACAACCTTGGATTGTTTTCACTAGAGCATTGGAGGCTGAAGGATAACTTGACAGAAGTATATAAAATTATGAGAGGCATGGATAGGATGGATAGTCTTTTTGCCAGGGTGGAAATGTCAAAGACTAGGGGCATAGGTTTATGGTGAGAGGGGAAACTTTAAAGGAGATGTGTGAGACAATTTTTTTTTTTTACACAAAGGATAGTAGGTCCCTGGAGCATGCTGCCAGGGGAGGTTGTGAAAGCAAGTAAGATAGCAACATTTAAGAGGCATTTAGACAGAAGATGAACAGGCAGGGAGTAGAGGGATTTGGACCACGTACAAGCAGATGGGATTAGTTTAGAATAACATCATGGTTGGTGCAGGCATGGTGGTCTGAAGGGTCTGTTCCTGTGTTGTATTGTTCTATGTTCACAAGTGGATTCCAAAACACAACATGATTTCCGTGCTGGCAGGTCTACAGTGGACATGATCTTACCCATACACCAGCTGGCAGTGTAGGAAACAGCATATACCTCTGTTAATCTTTTGTAGATCTCACTAAAATATTCAACACCATCAGCAAGACAAGGGTCTACAAGCTTTTGAGGAAAACTAGTTGTGTACTAAAGCTCTTCAACCTTGCCCCTTTTGAGGTTCTTATGACCATTTAATAGCTGCTTTTTGCCTGACCCCACTTTTGAGGCTGGTACGAAGAGTTTAGGCAGATGGTGTGGAGCCTGGCATTATTACTCTGACTGAACTACAGGCAAGAAATGTTCTTGCATCTCCATCAAGATGCTTTGCTCCAGAAAACTAGCCCAAAATACGGATGACTTACAACCATCACAAAGGTAGAACATTGTTCATTTTTGCAATTTTTGCTGAATCATGGAGGAAGAAATTCATAAATACAGTAGTTCCCCCATTCTCTCAAACTCCTAAGTATGTTGACACTGATCATGTGGAGGTGACTTTGCTGGTTTATGCACATTTGCAGGATGCCATATAGTCACGTACAGAAGGATTTTCTGTATGAGATGGTATGCGGAGCCAAAACACCAGTAGAATGTACCAGACTCTACTTCAATGATGGTTGCAAACATGATAAGAAGGCCCTAAACCCTGACCCTTGGCCTTGGGACTTACTAGCTGATGAGAGCAGGTAATGAGGACATCACCTGTGTACCAGAATGATCAGCAGTTACAACAGATTGGCAACAGGCACTCAAACCAGAAATAACCCGAAAATGACAGCTCATAGTTACTTCAGAAGTGACATGTAGCAAAAACTGATTCCTTCTAATTAGCCTGTAGCTGCAACAAAAATGCACTAGATGAAGCCCTCCATGGCCAACAGATTTGATTTCCTGCATGTTCATCACCTTAGCTGGAATGGTGCTCATCCAGATGCTGGGTGTGGCTTTTTTTTTTACCAGAACTGAGATAATTTGACTTCTTTTTACTTTTAAATTGGAAATAATGTCACGCCTCTTGAAGACCCCAGGGAGTAGTAACCAGACGAGATTTTTATTTCATTTGGCCTTGTAGCAGTAATTTCTATGAGAAAACAGTAAGGGGGAATTCAACAGAATTTCGCGAGCATCAGGTTCAACTCTCGTATGTGTTAACAATAATTAACTTTCTGAACTAAGGGTAAAACTCCTATTCATTAAGTTAAAAGCTAAATGTGAAAGGGAGAATAAAAAACGCTCGTTGCTAAAAGTGGGAGTAACGCCTTGTCTCTAGTGTCCCATCCGTTGTTCATTGTTGAAGACATTTAAACTAGTCCAATCGTCTTTTTTTAAAAATATTTTTCAATTTAAGCGATTGAAAATCGACAATCCTGAATGCAGAACAAGCTCAGTCTCCACCTTAGCAGTAATGCTACTACTCGATGTCAGAACAGATTAGGAACACGTTCTCCGATAGGTCGGGTTCCCTGGAGGACCGGAGAGCAGACCAGCAAGGTCTAACCCAAGCCACGGAGTCCCTTGTGGTAGCATTTTAAAACAAAAACGGCGTTGACAGTATACAGCTAACACACAGCAGTTACACAGTTTATACGCGGATGCTTAGTGGCTGATACTAGCCACCAACACGCATATCATTGCTTTGATCCCATTTCTGAATCTTTTGGGATGAGGCCCGGCGGGAGCAGTGACTGTTTCAGTGAGTGACCCATTACCATAATTGTTAGATCGAAACAGATTGGGCATAACTCCACCGGAGCGGGAATACATCCAAGGCACTCTAGCCACGGCATTGTATTGTCTAGCTCATGTTCCAAATGAAGGGCAATGCATTTACAATGTACGTGCTAACTGATATACAAGGTATTGTTTTGTCAGACATTTCTACCCAAGGTACTTTAAACAGCTTATTACAATCAAATGTACTGGTACCCGTACAGAAGATACAAACGCACCTTGCGCCTTTTGTATAGACGCGATTCCTCCAGTGAGAACAATGATCGACCAGACTGGAAGAGAAACAGAGAATTCAGTGACTGAATGTCAAGTAACATTGCAGCTTGAAAATCAAATAACATTGGGGAAAATTCGACAGAGATTGGGAATTTAAAAAATAAAATTAAGACAACTACTTTTATGAAGATCTACATACATAACGTACACAAGATATTCCTAAATAATTCATCATCATTTAGCGGGAAACCCAACATACAAAATTTGTTTTCTAGATACGTGACCAATTTATCTACATCTCCCACGAAAGAAAAACAGGTTTATAGGGAATCACATTTAGTAGGAGGCCTCCTCTCAAGTGTTCAGGTTTCGCTGTCGTCAGGAATGTTTTCTACATTCTTCTGCAGTTGTGCTGTCCGGGTGGGAAAGGCACTAACCTCGGGGTGCTTTCGATGTTTAATGAAGATGGTAATGATCATGGACAGCTATGCCATACAGCATAAATCCTGAGAAGAATGTGGATATGAATGAAATTCACTGAACATAATTCCTAAATATTCAAACCTTTGTCTCATTCAGGCTTTGATATCAGTTCTCTGCACTTTCAGGAGTTTAATATACGGTGGAGCTAAACATTCCCAAACCTTTTCAATTTTGACGGTAACTTTTATTTGAACCGATTATCAACATGTTTCTATCTCAAACCTTACTTTCAGCCTTTTTTTCTAAAAGCTAAATATGATATTCAATGTTTCAATTTAGTGACTATAATTTATAAGACTCCTTTATACCCATGCAAGTAATTTAACAGAATAACTGTTAGCCGGCATTAGTTACAAAGCAATAATGGAATTAACGCGGGCCTCATTAGAAGTTCAAACAGCTTTAACTATCGTGTTGCACAGGAAGGGATTTAGGTCTGGAATCCGCTCATATTAATTATAGGAAATTAACATTTGCTGCGGTTGGTGCAGTTTTGTTTGGATCAATCTGCGTGAAGCAAGTGTCATTTTAGATACGGCTGAAAATGCCTTGTATGCAATTTACAGTCACCGCATATTAAGTGCCAAACCTCCCAAAACACGCCATACATATATTACTGAAAGTGATTGTTACAACTTTTCTAAATAAATTACGTTTAGTCATATTGCACCTTAAAAACAAGGTGATCGCTTTGTAAGGAGAAGGGTGACGCTAAAGGGAAAGGGAATAATGAAGACATTTTCCCGAATGCATGTGTAGCAACAACTCCTCGGTCCTTCTTGCATTAACCCACTCAGATGCAGCCGAAGTTTCCCAGTGCTCCAACGGAGAGAATGGACCTCTTGGTCTGGTGTAAACTCCCCAGCCACGGGGGGCGGGAGATTCCCAAGCAAGCTGGAGAACGGGGAAATCTCAATCTCTTTATCCATGTTCAGATACGAACTGGTAGTGCCTAGTCAATGTGTAAGTCAGCTAGCAAAACGCCTTTATTCCAATGCAGGCATTTAGAAGCCAACGCTTTGCACAAGCGAATTCCAAATGTCCGTTGCATTGTGTTTGGCAGTGGATTTGATGAAATATTTGGAGGGAGAATTGAGAATCCTTTTCTTAGATCAGTTTGATGTTTCACATTTCACAATAACACATCACTATTTCTTATCAATCGAATTCGGAGCAAGTCCATTAAGTTTCGCCTGTAATTTGGTCAAGCCCATTAGACGGATGGGCGCTTTCTATCAATTATTTAAACCGTGAAATCTTGTAGAGCATTAACTGGCTTGTCGTACAATGTTGAAGCGGCAAATTGAAACTGCATGGGAAAAAAAACACATGGCCTTTGCACAATTTTCGCCCAAGTGGACGAGAAATGTTATCACATTTTTTGTTCGGTGTTCAACGTTAATCAATAATAAATTAACATTGTCAGCCGACTGGGAAACAATGTCCCCATGTACTGGTTAAAATCCATCAGTTCAGAGCAAATTAAAACTACTTTCAGCAACGCGGTGAGAGAAAGATCAAGAGGTAAATTCAGCTCCTCGACATCTCACTTGCTTTCATTTAGTGCGTTTTAAAAACAGATCGGATGAAATTCGAACTATACCGACTGCAAGGATTTGGTGCTGTTAAGTGCGCTCGGTGTCTGGACAATAAATATTTATTTGAAGAGAGAACCCTGAAGATGGTATTAAAACTCAGAGGGAGCTGCAGCAGGGAGCGGTTTGGCGTTGGGGGGTGGGTGGGTAGATGTAATCGTTCAAGGTGCTCGGACAGGAGGAACTCAGCACCACGTGGAGCCGGCACTTCCGCGCTCTCCATGCAACTACTATAATCTGGGAAGAATCATACTCTGACACTCATGACATCTCCTCGGTATTCGTGAACGAGGAAACCAAGTGGTTTCCATCTTTCCTGGCTAGCAGAAGTAAGCAGCCGCGGTTCGGTTCTGTTTTCTGTTTACACGGTTCCACATTGACAGTCCAGCGGCTTTACCATTTTAGACGCGGTGGGACCAATACTTCTGCTCAGAATAAATGAGCAGCTTTACTCAATAAACCCTTGCACTCGCTGTGTACACGACTATTATTCTGACTGCATCAGCGAGGCGGCCTTCTTTGTGCAAACTTTTTGATGGCTTAAAATGGATTCGAAGTGACTGGTCATTTAAAAAAACATAAGGATACAAATGTGACTGAACAGAAATATTCCAGTCCGTCTCTAAAACGTTATTTTAGCCTGTTGGCGAAGCCCTGGCAGAATGGCTATTTCACGAAGCCACAAGCCTCTAAAATATTTTTAAAAACTAACATATTTTGAAGAACAATTCTTTTGGACAATAGGATTTCGTGATTTGCAAAGCACAGAAACTTCCTGTAGATGGCGACGTTATATTTTTATTGCACTCACCTTTGAACATGAAGAAAAACCGTCTTTCCAGCACCATTCTCTCCGTGTCTAGTTATCCCGAATACCGCTTCTGATGTGTTGAGAGCAGTTTGCAAAGCTGACCGTATCCAGACCAGTACAGAACATCCGAGTGGTTGTCAAATGAAACAAAGAAACCACGTTATTCGAATCAAGCGAATGATCTTTGCATCCAGTAGCTTTCTGCTCGATACCTACCTCGATTCAAACATCAGGTCCATAATTCGATTTTCTGATATTCTAATTCTATTCAGAAAGCAAGCTTTGCCTTTCCCCTGTACCACAGACCCGTTTCTTTGGAGACGAACTTTTCACACGAGGTTAATTCCATCCCTTTATTGTGTCTATCCCTTGGGTATTTCCTCCACAATTACCCTCTCAGTCCTCCAAGAATGTTCTGTAGCCGTAGATCTTGGTTTAAATGATTTATCGATTGACAAACACGGAAAGAAGAATGCAGGAGTATCGGAGTAGTTTGAAAGCTGCCCAAATCCGTCAAAGGGTGCAAAGCAGACAGGAAGGAACTGTCGTTCTTCTGGGGAGCAGAGAGAGCTACTCCAGCTCCCAGCTGGATTGAAGTAAAGGGTAGCGAGTGAATGAAGCTCATGTTCAGATCTACGTGCGGCGCTTCATTGAGCAGCTTGTACGCATGCACCCACTCCACAGAACACACCAAGCTGCAGGCTGCTGTTTCCAATTCCATACACACACCTTCAGACACAACGGCAGTGTCCAAAGGCTAATCGTTAATGAAGCCTTTTTTTTAAAAAAAAGTTCTCCATCGCTTGACGGAGTTAGTATGTACAACACTATTTTAAATAGCCAGAGAATTTTGAATTCTTATCATTGGGCAGTTATGGTAAAATAGACGAACAAAGGAGAAATTTAAATACACTCCAGGTATTTTTTTTGACAGGGTGGGTTTATACCATCTTAGTCGCTTCAAGTAACTGCTCCCAGAACATGCTTCAGGCAAAATATTCTTGTATGGATAGATTCCCGAAAAATGCAAGCTACCAGCTTTTCATTTATCGTCAAACGTTTACATTATCTTTGGAATTTCGAAAATACAATAAAGGAAACGAGTTTCTAATTATACAGGCTCCTCTATTTGTTGTTTTATTTTCTGACATTCTATATTCAGTCTGAGAAAAATACTCCTTTCAACAAGGATGTACAAAATTACCAGAAATCCATAGATTTGGTGAGAAACGTTGCGGGAAAAAGAAAAGGATTGCAAAACCGATGTAGAATAGGAATATCTGCAAACACCACTGAGATAAACCAGGGAAAGTATTATTTACAAGGGCAATAAAAATGGAACCTCTGCTTTCCGAAAGAACCGTTTCCGAGTTTCAGTCTGCGCTATAAGTTTTGATGCACGACGACGTGGCCAACGAAAATATCCAATATCAATTTTTTTAAACAGTGTCTTCACGCAGAAAAACGGCTGAACAGGTTTTGTAGAACTATAAACTGGAATATATTGTGTTAAGTAATTCACCTCTTGACCAACCCTCCCACAAACCTTTTGCACCCACTACAAGGAAGTCGTCAAAAGGTGCAGTGGAATACTGAAAACAAAACAATACTCGAGATACGAAGCGTTGCCTTGCTGTCCCTCCACGGATGCTACCTGACCCTCTGTGATTTCCAGCACTTTTTTTGTTTTCAATGTGGTGGAATATTATTCTCTCCATTTGGTTGAGTACAGCTTCAACACTGAATAAGTGGCATCTCATTCAGCACCTTAAATAGTTACTCTTTGATGCAGTGTGCACCAGCTACTGGAAGCACTGCAACAACACGCGAACATTCCGTTGACAGCACTACCACCACGACAAAAGGAAAAACGGGAACACTGTCAGCACCAAGTTCCCCACATGTGACTCCAGATCCCATGCAAAGTGGCAGACACTAAAATAGCCTAGTATGCCGCTCAGTTGTAATTAACTGCTACAAAGTTTGATGGAAGGAGTTAAACCCAAGCAGAGCATGCAGAATCCAACAAGCCACCTGAAATGAAAATGACACACACAGAGCCCTGTAAGACCCTGCAAAGTCCTTCTTACTAATATGGGCTGGGGGTGGGGCTTGTGCCACAAGCTAAGCAAGCAACAGCTGGACATTTTATTTAAGTCATGATTCCATGAGTATGGCTATGACAAAGACACCACCATCACAGCCCCCAAATATATGTGTTGACTCATTAGCAGGACAGAGGTAGCTGAGTGACACAGCAATATAAAGTCAGGAGGGAGTTACTCCAGGGAGTCAACATTAGCTCTCGACCCTATGAAGTCTCATGGCATATGGTGAAAAAACATGGACAATGGAATCTTTGACTGATTATTTACTACTATGCCTCCCCCCCCTCAAGTAATGAATCATTCTACTCCATGTTCAACAACACTTGGGATGCATTGAGGGTGGCAAGGGCACAGAATGGACTCTGTATGGGGATTTCAATGTCTACTGTCAAGACTGGCTGAGTCCTAAAAGGACATAGCTTGTAGAAAAGCATTGCAATAGGTGGCAAAGGAACCAATAAATGGTAAAACAATACTTTACTTCAATCATCATTATACCTGTAACAGATACATCATAAAAAGCTGCATAAATACAACCCAGCCATTTAGTGCTCTATCAATCCACTCTCAAATCATTAGCAAAATGATGGAAAGTGTTGCTGACTGTGCTGCCCAGTCAACAATAAAATGTTTACTTGTGCCTTGTTTGCGTTCTACCAGGTACACTCAGCTCCTGACCTCATTACAGTCTGGGTTGTGATAGCTCTTGACATTGGGGCAGTATGTGACTGAGGTGTGGCGTTAAAGAGCTCTACGAACTGGAGTTAATGGGAATTGGGGAAAACCCTCCATGGGTTGGCATCATACCCAGCACAAAACAGGATACCTCTAGTTCCTGGAAGTCAACTATCTCAGCCACAGGACATTACAGCACGGAGTCCTCAGGGTAGATATTTTCCAATTAAACTGTCCAGATATATTAGTACACACTCCTAGAGCAGGTGGGACTTGAACTCAGGCCTCCAATTCAGAGGTAGGGACATTGCCACTCAGTGACAAGAGCTCTGCTAGAAATATGTGCTAATCAATCTGTTCAGTGATGTTATAATACACCTCTGGAGCAGATGGGTCTTGAATCTGGGCCCCCTAGCTCAGAGATAGGGACACTACCTACTGGGCCAGAAGACAATCGTTCCTCAGAGTAGTGTCACAGGCCCAATCATTTGCTTCAGCAATGATCTTCCATCCATGACAAGGTCAGGGGGTGGGGGGATTTTTTTGATGATTTAACAATACTCAACTATTTGCAACTTTTCAAATGAAGTAGTCTGTGTTTAAGCATGACAAGACCTGGACAATATTCTGGCTTTGGCTGATAAGTGACAAGTAACATTCACAACACACAATGTCTGGCCTAATGTGACTCCAGATCCACAGCAATGTGGTTGATTCTCAACCAGGCAATTAGGGATGGGCAATAAATACTGGCTTGGCTACAGATGTCCACATCCCATGAATAAATGGAAAAAAAATACAAGTGCCTGGCAATGACCATCTCCAACGAGAACCAATTATTACCCCTTGACATTCAATGGCATTACCACCATTGGATCTCTATTATCAACATCCTAGAGGTTACTGTTGACCAGGAAGTGAACGAGACTAGGCTCATAAATATTCTCTTACAAGGGCAGGTCAGAGGCCGGGAATTCTGTAGTGATTAACTCACCTCTGAATCCTCAAAACATGTCCATCATTTACAAGTCAGAGTGTATGGAATACTCTGCACTTGCCTGGATGGGTGTAGCTCCAACAATGCTTAAACTGACACATTCCAGAAGAAAGCAATTTGCACCCCATCTAACATCCTCAATAAATGGGCAATAAATATTGGCCTTGTCAATGACACTCACATTCTATGAATGAATAAACAGAAATTGACACTGTCACACAGGAGACAGAAGAACAAGTGACCAAGGTTATGTGAATGAGGTAGGTCATAAGCAGTATGTCAAAGGAGAAGGGAAAGAAAGTTTTAAGCTGAAAATTTCACAGCTTTGGGCCTAGGCATGATGCCCAATGATGGGACAAAACAAAATCAGGGATGCACAAGAGGTCTGAATGAAGAAACACACTTCTGGAAAGGCTGTAGGACTGGAAAGGGAAAAAGGGATTAGGAGGGGAGAATCAATAAAAGGATTTCAACATATGGATGAGAATTTCAAATTCAGAAGGGTGTCTAGCCAGGGACACATAGCAATAATTGAGTATGGAGATTAAAGCATGGATAAAGGTTTCAGTAAAATATGGGTTAAGTTAGAGGTGGAGATAAGTAAACTTGTTGGTCAAATAGAACATCAAAGTTGTGAATAGTCTGTTTCCGACTTGCCAGTAGCCAAGGCAGAAGACAATGGCTTCGGTCTTCCCAACATGTGTATCAACAAAATATGATCCCCATTGCTGCTTTGGTTAAACAGATCAAGATCCACAAGCTTTTAGAATATATTTTCACAGAATGTATAAACACATCTTAAAATCATACTGCATTAGCCACAGTTATCACTCAGATCATCCAAGTACTACTAAAACATTCTTAGCAATGCAGCTACACGTACAAGCTGTGCACCTTTGTTTTGCCACAAACTAGTCTGCACGCTAGACTTTAAATACTGGAATTTGACAGACAGTTAGGCTCATAACTTTGGTGTCTCGCAATACAATTATATAGTAGTAGGTTAAAGTGCAACTTGAAACGGAATATTTGTTTTAAATTAACAGAAATTTGATACACCATAGCAAGGTTCATTTTGACCAATCAGAAATACTAAGCATGTTTTTCCACAGAGACCATTTATTTTAGACATTTCACGGCTGGTGAGCCACATTAATAACATCAGAAAGATTCACCATGTTTAGAAAACAAACTTTTGAAAATGCATGCAATGGCACAATGAAGTGCATAATTTATTTTTCAGTGATTCTTAACTCCCCAAAATATACAGCTCAAGTTATTTTGCAATCACTGCCCAAAAACCATAAATTAGACTTAAGAAAATCCAGGAAGCAGTTAGACTATGTACAATTGAACATTAAACAGTCATCTTTTTTGCTATAAGTTATATTTGAGTTCTAACACTTAGCATTTGTCTCTTATAAACCACTGCATATCACATGGCATCAAAATGAAATCTGTGCGCTTCTTGGCGTTTCTCTCTGTCATCTGCCTTCTGGAATAAAGAGTAAAATGAACATCATTAGGAACAAATATGCTCATATTTGCAAGTGAGCAGCATGATCTGGCAGATCATTTTAGCCAATTATTCATTCATTTAAAATTTTTGAACTTGCTCTGTAAATATTTTACTAGGTGAAAAAGCTATTTTTGAACAAAAACATTTAGTCCCTAAACGATAACAATAATATTAAATTTATATGAGGGAAGGAAGACTTTTTGGCTTTGTTTTTTTAAAGTCTCTATCATCCATATTATGTTAAATGAAAACCTACATTTGCTTCATTTGCCTTACACAGTATTTTCATTTAAAAATGTCCAAGATAGTTCAATCATTACATTTACTCTTTGTATATTTGGGATGTTAGTACAATGCACTCCCAAGTCAAAAACAAGTTGCACAGTAAGACATCCTCACCACCACAATACTTTAACTCTAACACAATAATGGATATGTATGGATCGTTTCACTTCCCTCCATTTTGGGATTGCAAAATAAAATTGCCATCTTAATGCCACTCAACTGACTAACAGGTTTGCAGTGAGGCTTCATGCTTATTAGAAACTGTACATTCAAACCAATATAATATAGGACCATTAAAGTTGACGTTAATAGCCGTCTACTTTTACACTGTACTAGATTCAAACCGAGGTACGAGGGATGGAAAAAAATGCTTGGATATTTTACGTCCTAATACAGAAGCTATATGTCTGTTGAAAGCTTTTGCTCAAAATAAGTATGCACTGTTTATAAGAGATGATGCAATACTGACAAGGAACCACAGTATTCAATGATACAGCTCTGGAACTGCTCCTTCAATAAGTGAAATAAAGGAACAATGTTCTGTTTGACACTGAAATGCATACCTTCCAGAAGAGATCCATCCAAACTCGGCAAAATAAACTGGATCAAGAGGAAGCTGATTAAATGTAGAAAACAGGTGCAGTAGGTCAATTGGCCCTTTGAGCCTGTTCCGCTGTTCAATATGATCATGGCTGATCACCCAACTCAGTACTCCTGTTCCCGTTATTACTGCATACTCTTTGATCCCTTTAGCTCTAAGAACTACATCAAATTTCTTCTTGAAAATATTCAATGGTGTGGCCTCAATCACTTTCTGTGGAAGAGAATTCCACAGGCTCACCACTCTGGGTGAAGAAATTTCACCCCTTCTCAGTCTTAAATAGCCCACCCTGTATCCTTAGACTGTGATCCTGGACTCTTCAGTCATCAGGAGCATCTATCCTGTGTTTACCCTGATGGTCCTGTTAGAAATTCATAGGTTTCCATGAAATCCCTCCTAATTTTCCAAACTCCAATGAATCTAGTCCTAACAGATCCAGTCTCTCATTATATGTCAGTACTACCATTCCAGAAATCAGTCTGGTGAACCTTTGCTGCACTCCCTCCAATCCTTCCTCAGATAATGAGGCCAAACCTGCACACAATACTCCAGGTGTGCTCTCACTAAGGCCCTGTACAATTGCAGCAAGATATCCTTTGCTCGTGTACTCAAATCATCTTGCTATGAAGGCCACATAACAATGACCTTCTTCACTGCCTATTGCACTTGCATGCTTACTTTCAGTGACTGGTGAACAATGACACCCAGGTCTTGCTGCATCTCCCCATTTCTCAAACTATCGCCATTCAGACAATAAACTGTGTATCCTGTTGTTGCCACCAAAGTTGATAACCTCATATTTATCCACATTATACTTCATCTGCCATACATTTGCCCACATACTCAACTTGTCCAAATCATATTGCAGATGACAAAGCTGTATGGGAGGCTGTGCTATGAGGAGGATGCAGAAATACTTCAGACTTGGAGATATTACACTTAGTTTCCTTATCTAAATCAAGTCATCCGAATTTCCCAAAGTAATCCAAGCCAACATGTTCGTTTACTAATTACAGGGGAAAAGTACATGTACGAGGAAGTGTTTTCTATGAACCTACAAGTTTTGAATGAGAACTCTTGCAAATCCTCAGATAATCTGACAGCACTTTCTAGCTTCACACATAATTCCACACTGTTATAGCTCCAGCTTCAAACTAGAACTATTGCTGCATTTTCATTTGTAAAGGTAAATCAACAAAACAAACCTTCAATATAGGTCACTGTTCAAACATAAGGGTTGCCCAGAAGAGACAGGGATGAAAAGATTTTTCTTCTGACAGAGGGAGTGTCTTTGGAACTTACTTCCTCAAAAGGCAGCAGAAGCAGATGCTTGGAATATGTTTAAGGCAAAGGTAGACAGATTCTTGATAGCAATGAGGTGAGAGATTATTGGAAGTTGGTGGGAATATGGAATAATCACATCAGCTACGATCTTATTAAATGGTGGAGGAAGCTCAAGAGGGCATGTGGCCTATTTCTCCTCTTAATTCATATGTTATAAAATCGATATGCATAAGCGCTTGGTGTCACTGGAGCTTTATCTTAAATTTCCAATATCTCAAAAATATCGGCAACACAAACCAGTAGACAAATGGCAACAGAAAATTCAGGAAGATCTTAGAATTAAATTTCCTTTAAAGTACTTTTGAAGAAATCCTGGACCTTGAGAAAATGCAGGGAGTGGGGAAGATTTAAACAAAAGCTCTCACATGTTCAGCATATGTACTGTCCTTTTCTGATTTTTCCTCTCTCTACGCATTCATTCTCACAGACATATATATCAGTCAGAAAACCATGAGGATATCATGCAGGCTTGAGTTCATTTTCAGCCAGCATCCTAACTTACACTACCTCTTCAATCTTTATAGAAATTTCTCAAGCACCAGTAAGACCTATTGGGACTTCAGAAGGAGCGATTGAGTATTGCTCAACTTGTCTAATGTAGCAGCACAAGTATGTCCACCTAATGGAATTGATGGCCAGTTTGAGGAGGGGACAGAAGCCTGTGTTGGCAGTCATGAAGGAGTGTAACTTAGTTGGTGGAGGTTTGGAACTCGGGTTGGCATGTTAACATTGCGAGCCGAATATAACAGTTAGAAGGTTAGGGTCATGGTTACAGTTAATTTATGTCAGTGGGTGTAATCGAAAAGTATTTCTTAAAGCATCCATATCTGTGCACTTTTGCATGATGGTTCATCAGGAAGTTGTATGTCAGGCAGCAAATAAAAATGATCTTGGAGACTCTGTAGCTATACTATATTCTTGGATCTTTCAAAGTAATAAAACTGCTGCTTAAGTACATACTTCATGCTCATTAATGATTTTTAAAAATTCATTCATGTGTTATGAAAAGTGTGTGATTTATAGATAATATTTCTGGAGTTCGGATTTCAAAATAGTGGCATATGGATGTTGCTTACATTTGTGAAGGGATTTTAAAAAAAATTCAGAGTGTTCTTCTTGGACAGAGACGCCATCTATTATGTGTCAGACGGAAGGTTACTATGAACTCCTGGAATGACCTCCCTAACCTGTTCTTCCTCCCACCTATCCCCTCCTCCCACCTCAAGCTGCACCTCCATCTCCTACCGACCAACCTCATCCCGCCCCCTTGACCTGTCCGTCCTCCCTGGACTGACCTATCCCCTTCCTAACTCCCTACCTACACTCACCTTTACTGGCTCCATCCCCGCCTCTTCGACCTGTTTGTTTCCTCTCCACCTATCCTCTCCTCTATCCCTCTTCTATCCGCCTCCCACTCTCTCCCTATTTATTTCGGAACCCCCTTCCCCTCCCCCTTTTCTGATGAAGGGTCTAGGCCCGAAACGTCAGCCTCTCTGCTCCTATGATGCTTCTTGGCCTGCTGTGTTCATCCAGCCCTGCACCTTGTTGTCTCGGATTCTCCAGCATCTGCAGTTCCTACTATCCAAGATATTTATACTGTTGTGTTTACGACAGCTAGATTTAACGTTAAAGGTCATTAGCTTGTTTTCAGTTTTAAACAATCAATAATTGATTTTAGTTTAGAAACCCAAAGATTGAAGGGTTTTGGGCTAGTTTGGAGGAAACCTGACTGGATTCAGAAACAGGTTTAGCTTTTTCTCCTTACAGAAGTATAGGTCAGTTCAGGAAAACAGTCACCTCAGAAGAAAAATTTAGTTTGTGAAATTTTCAATTCAGGAGAATTTGGGTAGAAAATGCAGGTTATTATAATTGAGAAAGATTATGTTCTCAAAATTGTGGAAGAGATCATGTTGGCAAATTTAGAAAAAACTCATTTGTTTCCAGAGTCCACAGCAAAGAAACTGTCAGGACTCAGTTAAGTAGAACTATAAGAATTTGACAGGATGGAAGGCGGGGGGTGGTGTACTTTGTTTGGATTTGAATTCCTAAATCTCATGGTGTTGGGAAATGGTTTAAGAACTTTAATAAATGTAAAATACTGTGGATGTTAGACATTTGAAATAAACATAGAAGGTGCTGGTGAAACTCAGCAGGTCTGGTAGTATCTGTGGAGACAGAAAGAGAAGGTGGAATTTTCTCAGCACCTGAATGATTAAGGCTATGACAAGTAAGTTGGCCAAATACGGCAAGATCAAAAAATGAGATTCTTGGTGTTGAGATAAAATGCTCTATTCTGCATCTGAGGTTTCAACAGTAAGAAGAGAATCTCACTAGTGAGTGGCCTATTTGCAGGTATCAACATTCCATTATTGCATATTCTTGCCTCATCTTTAGGCAATTTCCTATTCTCCCACATGGCAGAGAGATACTAAGTGGCAACTATTCCCATCGTGAAAGTCAGAGCAGATATCAGGCAGCTCCAGCATGCTGCTTGCTCCTGTGGACATCCAGCTTGGCCAGCATTTTCCAATACCACAGGACACACTCCATGCGTAGTGCCTGCCTGTAGCCTTTTTCCACAGAGGTTGGTAATGGGCATACACTGACTTCACCACATCATCATGGCATCTCTTGGAATCACTTAGAATACAACTCTCCACTTCAATACCACACTTTGGAGCACACCAACAACTGGCATTGTAATACTTCTGCCAGATCCTTTTGCGGGCAGAAACAAATATGGATT